CAAACAGCATGAAAGCTTTCATTGTGAAAAGTGACACTGTCTCTGCTCTGAGTCATATATTGCAGTCCAGAGATTACTGACATCAAGAGTGATTTTTCTATTTTGATGGTTTTATTCATTGGAAGGACTGATGCTGAAGCTCCGATACTTTGGCCACCTGATGTGAAAAGCCGACTCACTGGAAAAGACCCTGATGCTGGGAAAGATTGAGGGCAGGAGAAGAAGGGGACAACACAGGAGGAGATGGCTGGATGGCATCATCAACTCAATGGACATGAGTTTGAGCAAACTCTGGAAGATGTTGAAAGACAGAGAAGACTGGTGTGCTGCAGTCCATGGGGTCGCAAAGAGTTAGACATGACTTTAGCGACTAAACAACAACAGGAATTTATAGCTTTAAAAAGTAGATACTAGGGTAGATCTCAGAAAAATCATCGTGGATGAAGGCACAGCGGCCTCACAAAGATAGACACACGCACAGCGGGGACAATTCCCATGGGCCTCACTAGCTGCTGTCTCTTGCCTCTGTGCCCATGTTGGGCTCAGGATACCCTGCAGTTGGGGTCAGCTGGGGGGAGAAGGATAGCATGTAGTTCTCCAGAGACCACTTATCATCCTAGATCACCTGGAAAGCCTGTTGAAGAAACCAGACTCCCCGAGGTTCTCAGGAGGGCCATTTGAGGTTTTGGCAATTTGGAAAGTCTGTTGAAGAAACCAGATTCCCTGAGACTTGCAGGAGGGCCATTTGGGGTTTTCTAGCCCCAGGGCTTCCCAAGTGGCTCAGTGTTAAAGAATCCACTTGCCAAGCAGGAGACCCAGGTTTGATCCCTGGGTCAGTAAGATCCCCTGAGGGAGGAAATGGCAACCCAGTCTAGTATTGTTCTGGGAAATCCCAGGGACGGAGGAGCCTGATGGGCTATAGTCCATGGTGTTTCAAAAGATATGGACAAGACTTAGTGACCAAACAACAACAACGGCCTCGAGATTAGGGAGGAAGAGTTTGCCTTTAGGCCACATGCTCCTTCACTCAGCAGATGCAAGGCACCCAGGAGCTGCTGGGTTGGATCCTGGGCAGGAAAGCAAGGCAGGGACAAAGGCCAGGAAGTTGATGGGTTGTAGGAAATCTCATGGTGGGTGCTGGGCAGCGGAAGTTAAAGTTAGGAGTCCTTGTGGCAACTGTGGGTGCAGAGGTGGGAGAAATGAAGCCTCTGGGGCTGTTGGTGTCCTGACTGTGCTACTTTGCTTTCTGAACGCTCATCTTGGGCTCTTACTACAAATGGCTGACAGCTGCGGCTTCAGCCAGCAGCAGCAGCAGCAGCAGCAGCAGACAGGCAGGTTGGCTGAAGGAAAGGCACGCTGACAGCTGTTCAATTCGATTAGTATTTTTGGACTCCCAGCCAGGGAGTTCTCGATGACAGATCAAATCAAAGAGGAAATGAAGTCACCAGTGATTCAGTGCCCACAGATGCTGGGGGTCTTAGGGTGAGATCCCATTCCTTGCCTGGGTCTTCTTTGTAGCCGGATCTGAGCATGACTGGTGAAGAGTGAGCTGGTCCAAGAGGCTGTGCAGAGTTCATCACGCAATCTTGCAGGAATGTAAGCACGCAAGCTCTTAAGTATGCAAGCGTGTACCGACAGGTGTGCTGTCGCTTTCCCCTTTCACACCAGGACCACGTCTGGGCTGCCTTGGCTCTGCCACATGAGAAAACAGGCTGTCCTTGGGGAGCCCCTACATCCTGTGTCTGGGCCACATATGTCAACAGATGTCTGCTCTTCTAAGACTGGGCCTCCGGGCCAGTTGGCATCCTTTTACCTCCATGTGACACACTCCACCTAATGAGGGGCTCCCCGTTGTCTCCATTCTCTTTGCCTCTAGCAAGTGGAGGTACAGAGACTTTGCAAGGTGCAGTGACTGTTGGAGAAAGTGAACAAGAACAACCAAAAGTTATCTAAATGGCATTTTCCGTGGGACAAGGGAGGGGTCTGCCTGTCATCTGACTCCTATCCCCATTTCCTGACCTTGCTCCCAAGACTGGACATGCCATGGAGGAAGGGAGGCTGAATACAAGATTCAAGAAGGAGACCTTCCAACTTTTTGTAGAACACAGGGAGCTCAGTACTCTGTAATGGCCTATATAGGAAAATAATCTAAAAAGGGGTGGATATATGTATACGTGGGCTTAGTAGGTGGTGCTAGTGGTAAAGAACCCACCAGCCAATGTAGGAGACATAAGAGATTCCGGTTAGATCCCTGGGTTGGGAAGATCCCCTGGAGGACAGCATGGAAACCCACTCCAGTATTCTTGCCTGGAGGATCCCTAGGATAGAGGAGCCTGGCAGGCTATAGTGCCCAAGGTCGAAAAGAGTAGGACACGACTGAAGAGACTTAGCATGCACGCACATATGTATATGTATGGGAATTCCTAGGTGGCTCTGTAGTAAAGAATCCTCCTGCCAATGCAGGAGACATGGGTTCGATCCCTGGGTCAGGAAGACTCCCTGGAGTAGGAAATGGCAACCCACTCCAGTATTCTTGCCTGGAAAATGCCATGGACAAAGGAGCCTGGTGGGCTACAGTCTGTGGGGTTGCAAAAGAGTTGGAAATGACTTAAGCAACTGAGCACATGTGTGTATGTTTAACTGATTCACTTTGTTGTACACCTGAAAGTAACACAACATTATAAATTAAATATACTCTAATAAAAATTTAAAAAAAAGAAGTAACCATTTCCAAGCTGCCCCAAATACCCAGCCTGACCAGAGATATACTGGCCTTGACTCAGCCCATGTGTTATATCATTGTTGTGTTGACTCACCTCTGTTTAATACTATAAAGCCCCCCTTTCCTGTGACAGGAAGAGCCTGGGGCTAGTTACTTTCAGTTTATGCAAATTGGGCAGGAGGGATGACGGGTTTCTGTGCCTATGGTCCGGGAGGGCAAACAGAGGCCAACACAGAGATGGGACTTGATCCCAAGCTGTGCCTAAGGGAGAGGCCCAGCCTCTTGCAGAGGAGTGATTCTCCTGCTTCTTGTCTGTTCCAGAAATGTGAGCCAGAGGACTTCCCAGGTGGTCCAGTGGTTAGGACTCTGCACTTCCACTGCAGGGAGCCTGGGTTTGATCCTTGGTTGGGGAAGATACCGCAAGTCAAGTGGCCAAAAAAAAGAAAAACATGTGAGCTAGATCCTCAAGTTGTTATTCAGTCACTGAGTCTTGTCCAACTCTTCAAAACCACATGGACTGCAGCCTCAAAACTTGGACTTATTTCCACAGCTGAGGGCAAAGCTCCTCATCTCTGGGAAGAGAAGGCTTCTCCTCCTGGTATCATAGCTTTCCCTTTGCTTCTGCCCACGCCCCACCCTGCATGGGAGTGGTTAGGAAAGCTAGGAAGGGGAGTGGAGGTGTACTGCCCAGCCACAGGATACGTGTGTCCTCTTAAGGGAGAGACAGGATGTGCATATGCCTACTTGGACATGGAGAATTGACAAATAGGCAGCTTAACTCATGCCAGTGAGTTTTCCAAGTCAGAACCGCCAGAAGGATGGAAGTAGGGATCCAAATAGGGGCCTGGTAGGGACCATGGGTGTTTGGGCATCCATGGAGGGGCTGCACTGGCTAAAGGAAAATTTAAGGAAAACCTCTGGTCTTTGTCAAAGCTATGGTTTTTCCAGTAGTCATGTATGGATGTGAGAGCTGGACCATAAGGAAGCCTGAGTGCTACGGTGCTGGAGAAGACTCTTGAGAGTCCCTTGGATTGCAAGGAGATCAAAGCAGTCAATACTAAAGGAAATCAACCCTGAATATTCGTTGAAAAGACTGATGCTTAAGTTCCAATACTTTGGCCACCTGATGCGAAGAGCCGACTCATTGGAAAAGACCCTGGTTCTCGGAAAGATTGAGGGGAGGAGAAGAAGGAGATGACAGAGGATGAGATAGTTGGAATGGTAACACTGACTCAGTGGACATGAGTTTGGGCAGACTCTGTGAGATAGTGAAGGACAGGAAAGCCTGGTGTGCTGCAGTCCTTGGAGTTGCAAAGAGTAGGACACAACTGATTGACTGAACACCTATCAGTCTTTGTATTCAAAACAAAGCAATTAACTGAATCTCTCATTTGGTTACTGGAGAAAGGGTCAGGGAAGGCTCCCTGGCTGCCTGAGTCTGAGGTTCTTGGAGCTCCAGTGGTTTCTTGGGCATCAGAGGCTGTTCTGGTCTTGAGCTGTCATTGCAGTGGGAACATAGCAGACACACAGAAAATTGTAAATCAGGAGGGTAATTGTAAGGCCTTAGTAGCCCATCTGATAGGCTATCACTGGCAAGACAGAAATGATTTACATTACTATTGACAAGGCCAGACAGGAAGGCTTGTTCATCAAAAGGAAAGTGAAGCCTTGTCATTTGGTCTTTAAAAATTTTTATTTATTTATTTAGGCTGTGCTGGATCTTTGCTGCTTTGCTTGGGCTTTTCTCTATTTGTGGCGAGCTGGGGCTACTCTTTTTTGAGGTGCACGGTCTTCTCACCGCTGTGGATTCTCTCGCTGCAGAGCATGGGTTCCAGTAGTTGTGGCATGTGGGCTTAGTTGCCTAGCAGCAAGTGGAGTCATCCCAGACCAGGGATCAAAACCATGTCCTCTGCATTGGCAGGTGGATTTGTAACCACTGGACTGTCAGGGAAATCCTGGTCTTTTTTTTTTTTTTCAATGCTGCTAAGATAGGAATTTCAACAGTGGAGACACAAGCAATAAATATTTTCTTGACTTGATTGATTTGGATATTACTGGGGCTAGTTTTATAGCTAGTCTTGAACCTTAGGAAACAGAAGAATTACTTGGTTATTTTCATTATAAAAGCTAGATATTTCTGAAGTGGCAGAAAGAAAGGATGTTAGTATTGGATGGGGCCTTGGGTATCCAATCCCTGTAGATGAGGAAGGCATCTGAGACGGTGTGCTCTGCCTGGAGAGACTCATCTGGGACAGAAGAAACCTGGCTCCAAACTCACCATCACCACCAGCTGTATAGCCTGTTTGCAGGATGCTTTCCTGCCTGAGTCTTTCATGTGACTTGTCTCATTTCTTGCTTCTAATGTGAACAGGACAATAGTTATCATGAACACCTCTTCTGTGTGACAATTGGGGGTGCCAGGGGCATGCATCCTGGGGACCCAAAAGCTGGAGGCTGTTGCTACAGAAACGGAAACAGAATGAAAGGCAATGAAAGAAACTCACATGAAAGTGGCTGCCACATCACAGACCCAGTCCCCATCAGGGTCCAGTGATGTCTTTTCTGTGTTCACACCCACCCGTCTCTGCTGGGTCTTCAGTGGGTGGGTCAGGATCACCTTGGAGACCTCCTCCATGCCCACAGCTTGCTACCCTTCAGATCATCAAATGTTACTTCCCCATAGCCTTCTCTCTCCTCCCCAGATGGGAAAACTGAGGCACCCCAAACAAATCACCGTGCTTTCCCAAACTAGGTAGAAGTTCACTTCTGTAAGCACAACTTTGCACTTAAAGAAAAAAAAAACCAGCATTATTGCATTTCAAATTTATTCACAAGCATTGGTTGCTTTTACAAAGTGAACTTTCAATACAGCTTAAGGAGTGAACTCAAAATGAGAATGAGGATGGTCAGGGAATCTGGGAAATCTGTATTAGAAAAAGAGTGGTTATCAGTCACCCCATATTTATTATTTCACTTTATCCTCATACTATCATTAAGCTTCATTAAACACCTTGACCTTCCCTCCTTAGAGAGTATAAACCAGGCTTAGAGGAGTTAAGTAAATGGCCCAAGTTTCAGTAAATAGGAAGTAGCAGAGACAGGACATGAACCAGAGTCACATCTTCAAAACTTCTGCACTTTCTCAAGCTTTGACTTCTGGCTTTCTGAGCAGCCACTGGAACACAGAAACACAAAAGCATAAGTAAAAAACACCACCAGCAAAAAAGCACACAAAAAGGAAAAAACTCAAACAAAACCTTGGTCTCAGGAATCTTTTGTCTTTCCATAGAGTACACTGACTGTGGAAGCTTTGGAAAAAAATCAGTAAAGATCACATAAAAATAGACATCAAATTCATGTCATTGAGCAGTGTCATCTGATAAAAATACAATTGTAAGCTGCAAATGTGAGCCTCATAGGGAATTAAAATTTTTGTAGAACCTGCATTAAAAAGTAAAAAAGAAAGAGATAAGATTAATTTTTGTATATTTTACTTAACCCAGTAGATCCAAAATATTGTCATTTGAACACATAATTAATATAATAATAATCAGTGAGATATTTTATGTCCTTTATTTAATAATAAAGAATGTAAGCTATGTCATCTGTGACATTTAGGGTGTGTTTTATACTTTAGATGCTCAAGAGCCATGTACGGTGAGTGTATAGTGCAGGTCTATAAGTATAGAGAAGGAAAAATATTCCTGGAAGGATGGTTGTTGGGTGTCAAGGCCATGGTTAATTCTTAAGGGCTTGAAATTTACCCTGGCATGGAGTGTTGAAGATATCAGTAAGAAGTAAGATGAGAGAGTGATTGTTATGCCTAAATTATATATAACAACCACTCTCTCATCTTACTATTGAAATTATATACAAGCCTCTGTTTGAAATTTACCCTGGCATGGAGTGTTGAAGATATCAGCAAGAAGTAAGATGAGAGAGTGATTGTTATGCCTAAATTATATATAACAACCACTCTCTCATCTTACTATTGAAATTATATACAAGCCTCTGTCCTCACCTTTTGAAGTAAAAGGCTGATTGAAGAGCTAATGATTGGGAAATGTGAAGATGCAGAAACTGTGAGGCTGGGAAACTGGTAACAACTTATACTATAATGCTGCCACATAGCAGAATCACAGAACTCACGATTATCTGCAAGATATTGGTATAGGCCTGATACACTTTCCTGAACTGTTTCTTATAAGAGGCAGACCCTCTATTAGGTGAAAACTACTGACCACAAGAACACTGACCCCAGACTGGTTGGAACCAGAAGGCTGTTTTTGCTGACTCCCAGTTACCTCACCACCAGCCAATCAGAAGAATATCCACAAGCTGGCCACGCCCTGCCCCTTGAACCATAACACTTCTCAGAACCCCTTCCAGGGTGGATCATGCAGTTTTGAGGGCAGCAGCCTGCTGGGGCCCCCTCTGCTTAGCAAAGCAATGAAGTTATTTCTATTTCATCCAAAACTCTGTCTCCAAGATTTAATTTGGCACTGGTGTATGGAAGCTGAATTTCAGCAACGTTATTATTTTTGATTTAAGAAAGTCAAAATCACTGCAGACAGTGATTGCAGCCATGAAATTAAAAGACACTCCTTGGAAGGGAAGTTATGACCAACCTAGATAGCATATTAAAAAGCAGAGACATTACTTTGCAACAAAGGTCCATCTAGTCAAGGCTATGGTTTTTCCAGTGGTCATGTATGGATGTGAGAGTTGGACTGTGAAGAAAGCTGAGCACAGGAGAATTGATGCTTTTGAACTGTGGTGTTGGAGAAGACTCTTGAGAGTCCCTTGGACTGCAAGGAGATCCAACCAGTCCATCCTAGAGGAGATCGGTCGTGGGTATTCATTGGAAGGATTGATGCTGAAGCTGAAACTGCAGTACTTTGGCCACCTGATGCAAAGAAGGGACTCATTGGAAAAGACCCTGATGCTGGGAGGGATTGGGGGCAGGAGACGGGGATGACAGAGGATGAGATGGTTGGATGGCATCACTGACTCGGTGATGTAAACTCCAGGAGTTGGTGATGGACAGGGAGGCCTGGCGTGCTGCGATTCATGGGGTCGCAAAGAGTCGGACATGACTGAGCGACTGAACTGAACTGAACTGAAACATTTCACACACAGACTAGGAGTGAGATGAAGGGAGCAGATTTGAAGTGAAGAACTGCTGGGTTCACGTTCAAGCTGCGTTCCCCACCAGCAACTCTGGGAATGTTGTTTAACCGCCTTGAACTCAGTTGACTTGTTTGCAAAACAGGATCCCACGACCTGCCTTGTGGAGATCTCAACTGAGAGAGTGTGGCGATGATCACGGAGCCAATTTCTGGGGCTCACTTCCTTCTTTTCATAGTAACTTCCCTGCCTTCTGTGCGAAGTTCAGAAATAGAAGTCAGCTTAAGTCCCATTACTAAGAACTCGGCTTTGGGCCATTTCCCAGGAAGTGAACACACGTCAGTGATCATAGACTCAGGGGAGCACAAATAGAATTTTCCTCCTTTTTTTGGTAACTCCCCTGCATCTCTGAGTGGCTCAGTTGGTTAAGAATCTGCCTGCAATACAGGACGCCTGGGTTCAATCCCTAGGTAGGGAAGATGCTCTGGAGAAGGGAGTGGCTACCCACTCCAGCATTCTTGCCTGGAGAATTCCATGGATAGAGGAGCCTGTTGGGCTACAGTCCACATGGTCACAAAGAATTAGGTACTACTGAGCAACTAACTAACACTTTCACTGAATCTCTTATGGAATACCTAATTTTGTTGTTATTGTTGTTTCTTTTAGGCAAACTCAGGCAATTCAAATTTTCCTTAGTCATTTCATCTTATTTCATTTTATTTTTTTAATTGAAGGACTTTAAGATATCCTCAGGTCTGCTTTTTAAAAACTATTTATTTCTGGCTGTGCTGGGTCTTCGTTGCTGCCTGTGGGTTTTCTCTAGTTGCAGCAAGCAGGGGTTACTCTAGTTGTGGTAAATAGGCTTCTCATTGCGGTGGCTTCTCTTGTGGAGCCTGGGCTCTACGTTAACTGGGCTTCAGTAGTTGTAGCACATGGGCTCAGTGGTTGTGGCCCATGGGCTCAGATGTTCCTCGGCATGCGGAATCTCCCCTTACCAGAGATCAAACACGTGTCCCTGGCATTGGCAGGTGGATTCTTATCCACTGAGACACCAGGGAGGTCCTTCACAGTCATTTCAGGTTTAAACTCAGCCAGGATTTAAACTCAGGTTTAAACTCAGGATTTCAACCCCCCTCTCCTTTCTCCCCTGGAGGCACCCAGGATGTGAAGGGGTCTTCGCCTGGTGGAGCTGCTGGGGGGCTGCAGGGAACAGGTCTGTGTCTAGCCGCATCTGCTCTCTGGTGTGCGTGCTGGCACTCAGTCGTGTCAGACTCTTTGGGACCCCATGGACTGTAGCCCACCAGGCTCCTCTGTCCTAGTGATTCTCCAGGCAAGAATACTGGAGTGGGTTTCCCTACCCTCTTCCAGGAGATCTTCCTGACCCAGGGATCCAACCCATGTCTCTTTCATTTCCTTCATTGGCAGGTGGGTACTTAACCAGTAGTGCCACCTGGGAAACCCCATCTAGTCTCTAGTCACTGGCTTTGTCTCCCATGGTTCCTGCTGTAGGGTGCTTTGTGTGTTTCTTCTCCCAACCACCAGTTTCAGGCCGTCAGACCTCTCTCACTGCTGAGATACGGAGTAAAGGCAGCTTCTGGAAGATATTTGTCTGAGCTTTCCTGGAAACTGCAAGGCTGTATAATGGTTTCTGTTTAGCGTTTTCTTGCTACCACTTTGGTCATTTCTAGCTTCTGTAAGGCTTGCAGCTTTCTTGGGCTCCCTTAGATGTCTCAGTGGATCTTGGGGTTGATCATCCACTTATTGCCTGGCTCAGCCGGGAGAACGGGGCTCTCTCTGGACCGCAGCCCCTGCCAAGTCTTCCACATAGAGTGGGTGTAGGTTTGGGTCAGACAAATTTCATGTGGAATCAATGTTACTCTTGGAAACCTCATAGAAAGTTGTCTCACTGATACTGTCACCTGGCTCTCCTTAAGTCCACAAACCAGTTTTTTTCCGGGGTAGTTTTGGAAGGCAGGTCAGCAATAATGTGGCTCAGACGGTAAAGAATCTGCCTGCATTTCAAAAGACCCGGGTTCGATCAGTGGAGAAGGGAATAGCAACCCACTCAAGTATTCCTGCCTAGAGATTTCCATGGACAGAGGAGCCTGGTGAGCTATATAGTCCATGGGGTTGCAGAGTCAGACACAACTGATCCGCTTTCATTTCACAAGTGGAGGGGGTTGTATAAAACAGATGAGAAAAGGCAGAAGAAATTGTGAAGTGGGTGAAAGTATGTGACAATCCTTAGCTAAATTTTCAAATTCTACCTTGCCACCAAGGAACCCTCTTCCCAGATTTGGGCTC